TCATTTTGTACCCCGGATAATTTGGCAGCCTGTCTTGTCTGCGACGCTCTCAGAAAATTGTTTCCATCACTTCCCTAGCCAGCTCTTCCTAAGCGCACGTCAGCAATCGCAATGAGGCTGGACCTTACCGTGGTGCGATGGTTTGTGTGCCTCAGTGATCCATTGAGCTATGCTGGGTGGTGCATTTTTGCACCTTCAGAGCCACTCATACCAGATTGGTCAATGGTTAGAGGCCAGACAAACTCAGCCTCCTGGTCCTCCAGGTTGGGGGTTGGAATGAGAGTGGCACCTTATTCCCTAAAACGGACTCCTTGTAGCCCAACGCCAAACCCGCTGCCTTGCGGTCAGGTTTTTGAACCAAAGGCTTTGGTTGAGAACCCTAATCGTTCTCCTGTCTAGGCCTGGGCAACCTGACAGTATCCTGCCCACGCAATACCATGAATCTTACCTCAAACAAATTGCTGATGCTCTGGCCACCGCAGAGGATAATCAACGGTGCCCTATCTGCTGCATCGAGCAGGGTGGATAGGGGTTTGGATGCTACTGCTCAAGCCTTCCCGTCTTCTTATTCCCCCTCTTACGCTTTTTCACTCTTACCGTCCCCTTCCAACTTCACTTATATCCCCCCAGTTTTCAACCCCCCGATTCTTGGCCCTCCCCCAACATGCTTTGCTAGGCATTTATCTTCTAATTTCAACTCACATGTGAACGCGGAGCGTCACTCCTCTCCTGTCGACAAGCCCATGTCCAACCAAGCGGTCCATTCCAGTTCATCGGCTTCCATTTGGAGCCCTCGATCCTCCTTCAGATTGGCATGCCTCAATGTACGCACACTGCTACAAATCGGTCAACAGGCAGCACTTGCCCGAACATTGGAGACCCTCTCGATCGATATCTGCTGCTTATCAGAGACCCGCCTGCAAGACTCGAGCTCTGTGCTCACTCTGCGATCCCCTTCAGGTGACGCAAACAGTATTTTCTCAGTGCGCCTATCCGGTGACGATGCAGCTTCGAGCACCGGCCAAGCTGGTGTTGGCATTGCCCTGAGTCCCCAGGCTGAAGCTGCTCTGGTTGATTGGATTCCAATCAGTAGCCGGATGTGTGCGGTCCGATTGGCTGGCTCGTTTAAAGCTTCGAAGTCGCGCGGGACTAATAGGTGTCTATTCATCATCGCTGCCTATGCGCCCACAAACTGTAGCGATGATTCGGTAAAGAACGACTTCTACCGCCAACTGACTCAGCTCCTTCGCCACAGAAGAAGCACGGACACTGTTGTGCTGGCGGGGGATATGAACGCACAAGTTGGAAAGTTGTCCACTGATGAAATGCATCTGAGCGGTCAGCACGGTGTAGGCTCCCGTAATGATAACGGTGAGCGGTTACTTCATTTGTGTGAAGATGCTCGCTTATTTCTTGCGAGCACTAATTTCCGACACAGCACCCGCCGGAGGGTGACTTGGCGCCCACCAGCCTCGAACCAGCTATGGACGCAGATCGATCACATTGCTATTAGTTACCGCTGGAGAGGCTGCATCCAGAATTGTCGCTCGATTTGGAGCACATGTGTGGACACCGATCATGCACTTGTATGTGCTGACATGCGGATGCGCTTTGGCGGACGCCCACGACGACGCTGTGAGCGCATTGACACCAGCCAACTGACAAAGCTAGCTGTTCTGAATGCGTATCGAAGTACGCTGACATGCGAGTTGAGTAATCGCTCACTGGAGACAATTGATGGTCACTGGTCACATGTTCGCCAGACCTTACTAGCAGCGGGCAAATCCTCATGTGGTATGTCTAATAGCCAACATGGACATTGGGTCTCTTCTCGGTCTCTGGAACTTATCGACGCTCGCCGGCATATCCCGGCTGGAAGCGAGCACAATGAAACTCGCAAAGAGCTCCGGGCAAAACTCCGCTCTAGCCTGAAGAGAGACCGCGAATCTTGGTGGTCTCATCGTGCGTCAGAGATGGAAGTGGCCGCTGCCCTTGGCAACCATCGTAAGTTATTCCGTCTGATACGGGAAACGGGCAGCAGGAGACCTGGTGTTAGTGAAACAATTTGTGATGAGAGTGGACAGCCTATCCACAATTTGTCAAAACGTTTGGAGCGTGGGCTGAGCATTTTGAAAAGCAATTTAATCGGCTGGAATTGTTCGATTCGCCCGTCAATGATCGCCCTGCTCCGTGAGCTGTCCCTTTGGATCCACCCTCTTGCTCAGAAGTCGAACGTGAGATCGGACTGTTGAAGTTGAACAAAGCCGCGGGACCAGATGATCTTCCTCCAGCCCTCTTCAAATTCGGAGGCTCTGCTCTTGTTGATGCTTTACATGAATTACTAGTGAAACTGTGGGAGCAGGAGACTGTCCCAACCGACTGGAGCCGCTCCGTTATTGTTCCCATCTTCAAAGGCGGCTCGCGCTCGGAATGCGGCAACCATAGAGGAATCAGTCTGATCTCCATTGCCTCCAAAGTACTCGCCTCCATAATTCTTCACAGACTGACTGGCGCTCGTGAAAGCCAGATTCGTGAGGAGCAAGCCGGGTTTCGTCGTGGTCGTGGCTGCATCGACCACATCTTTACCTTGCGTCAGTTGTTGGAGCACCGTCACACATATTGGCGGCCCACCCTAGTCGTGTTCCTCGACATCAAAGGTGTCTTCGATTCGGCTGATCGATGTGCCCTTTGGATTTGCTTACTCAAGAAAGGTGTGCCCGAGAAATATATAAATATTATCCAAGCATTATATGCGCGTAGTACGGGCAGAGTGAGGGCTTACGGCAAGCCATCGCCATCCCTCAAGATCTCCAGCGGTGTGAGACAAGGTTGCCCGCTGTCACCTTTCCTCTTCAACTTCGCTATTGATGAAGCCATGGAGTTGGCATTTACGGGACATGACTTGGAAGGTGTGGAACTACTCCCAGGAGAACGACTTCTTGACTTAGAGTATGCAGACGACATTGCCCTCATCTGTGACAGCTCCCAGACGTGCCAAGCCGCGCTGGACAGATTAGCACTGGCTGTCAGCCGCTTCGGGCTTTGCTTTGCACCATCGAAGTGCAAAGCGTTCCTCCAAGATTGACAAGGATCGCCTCCTGCGCTGACCCTTGGTGGGGATCAGCTAGAAGTCGTTCAGAAATTCAATTACCTGGGAAGTTGTATCAGCGCCTTTGAGATCGAAGAAGAGATCACGAACCGTATAGAGAAAGCTCGAAGTGCTTTTGCTAACCTTCGCCACCTATGGCGGCGGCGCGACATCACTATCGCCCTGAAGGGTAGAGTGTACAATGCAGCGGTACGTTCGACCCTACTGTACGGTTGCGAAACCTGACCCCTAAGATCGCCGGACATGAAGAGGCCAGTTACGTTCGACCATCGGTGCCTTCGCAGTTTGGCTCACATCTGGTGGGAACACCGCGTGAGTAACGAACGTGTTCGACGCCTTGTTTACGGCCCAGGAAAGGGATCTGAACCACTCAGCACCGTTATTTCATGCATCAGGCTCCGATGGCTCGGCCACGTGTTACGCAAGCCAGCCCACCGACTCCCTCGACGTGCGTTGTTTGCTCACCGGGGATGTGGGTGGAAGAAGAGGAGAGGTGGCCAAGCGATGACTTGGTCCAGGGGAATGAAGTCCCTCACTTCAGAGCTAGCCTCGGTTGGAGCGTCACGGCTCTCTGGTTAAGGTCCAAAAGACGGTGAACACGTTTGGCTGGATACACTTGCTGACATGGCAAGGAGCCGACCTCAGTGGCGTTTGTGCTGTGAGTTTCTTTGTCGCTCCCATCCCTTTTAGCCTCCCCCTCCATCTAAGATCTCATTTCGTAGGGTAAAACATAATATTTTTTTCTTTTTGCTTAGTAGCTGGCTGGTAGCTTATTGGAACGATGCCTACCCGTTGCTGGTGGCTCAGCTGGCATGCAACTGTTGTACCTATTTTTCCTTTGTGTATTGTGTTATATGTACGTATGTATGTATTTCCTTCATGTATTGCGGCACAATAGCGGAGGTGTTTTCCCACCTCCAGCTGACGTGTTTAATGATGATGATGATGATGATGAAGCGCACGTCAGTCTAGCGAGCTCGTATGTTTCGACACAAAATGTGTGGCTCGCCAAGTTTTACTCGCTTTTTTAACTTTTCACCAGTTTTCTGATTGTGCGAGTATCGAATCCGATCATTGATTGCGCTATATCCGGAATGTGAGGCTACCGATTGCGAGTATAACCGAAATAACGTTCTAGGAAAAATAGAGGGGCGGTTTCAGTAAAACCATGATGGTACGACTTTCGTACAGCTGATATCAGGTCAGGTCATATTAGGATAAAAGGGCAGAACAAGGCTCTGACCTCAGGAGCGTCCCGTTTTTTAACGGAAAGCAAACCAGGGACCCCGGTAGTTCAACGTTGGAATTGCTTTACTTTCATCTCAGAAAGTGAATCAAAAAACCAAGCATGTAGATTCTTAAATCACGGACTACGAAGTTTTTAACAGCTGCCAATAAACTTACAAAAATCCCGGGAATAGGTACGATTAACACCTATCCAGAATTATTGCAATTTTATTTTACTATGTCGCTGTAAGCTCGTACTGTGTGACAGTACAGATTGTGCTTTTTCTTTTCGTTTAAATCTAATGCAGAAGCCACGGGAGTAAATCAGAAGTCGAAATACCGGGGACCCTTGTTCGTTTACCGGTGCAAGAAACAGAACGCTTGTTAGGCGGAGGCCTGTATCGTCTTTGGAACGTGACCCGACATGAGCCGTCTCTTAGAGAGTCACTACAGTTACACTTTTTATTAGGGAACGATTCCCAAAAGAATTTCTCTTCATTTCTAGCCATACAGCTTGTTCGAACAAATGTACGATAAAGTTTATCCGAGCAGGGAAAGCAAACATTGCATTGACCAAAGTTGGATAGGTAAGCACAAAAAACTCATCCAAATTAAGAGGAGCCGACGAAGTGTCAATTAGAGACAGATGGGCTCAAATACGTACCGCAAGGCTTTCTTCCTGATGTTCATCCAAGCCGTTCGTCTGCGGCTCCACTCGCTCTTCAGCTTCGTCATCTGACTCCCCTTGATCTGGTGAGCTTTCTTCATCTCTAACTTCGTCATCTGACATGAGATCAGGTCCAATATAATTCCCGAATTCATCATATAGATCGGTCTCCATGATGTTGCAAATTCCAAATTTGCACAAACTGCAAGGCCGTTTAATGCACTAAAATGTTAAGCAAAAATGTAGCAATTGAAAGTTGCTACTTCAAACAGAATACAAAGTAGCACATAAACCAAACTCGTTTAGAACTTTTGCATTTTTATTTTGTTCTTCAATTGAACAGGGATGCGCTAAAGCAACAACGAATATTTCCGGTAGACAACGACGAATAGACCACTTTAATTGAGGACTAAAACACATATGTGTTCAAGTTCAAGTTCAAGTGAGACTGGAACGATAGGATTACCCCGTGTGTGTTCCTTCTTCAGCGGATCATTTAACCAGGAGTTGGCAGCTTTTGACATATTGATGGACCTAAAACAAAGACCGCACTGCACCCTGTCCAACCAATTAATGCCCAAGTACTTTGCCCTAACAGCCCTGCTGGACCGGTTACATGAAGTGGGAAGGAAAAAAACTAAACTCAGAAGGCAAATAGAGCAAGTGAAAAGCGCTAAGCAAGTAAAATATCGATATTCGAGTCATTAAAAAGAACTGAAAAGTGAAGTTGAGTCAGTTGAGAAAAAGGAAAGTTTTGGTGTTGCCACCCAACAGCATCGAGCTGGCGCGAAAGACCCTTAGCCATAGTTCCCTAACCACGTGATCTGGAAGCGTATTGGAGCGCTCTATAAGTCGGCGCGACAGACGAGTTTCCGTCCAAATCCTATCAGACCATGGTTTATGTAGTTTCAGTGGGTGACCGCGGTAATTAGGTAATGTAGCGGGACTAAATAGCCCTGACAAGTCTGGGCCGAGCTTGCCCGTCCAAGTACGATAAGTGAGAATCAGGTCCCCTCTTTTCTTTCTGTAGTGCATGTAGTACATCCCCAAACTGAGCAAGTGTACAAGATGTCTGTCCCCGTAGACCCTGAACTAATTTAGTGCCCACCCGTAACATCCTGTTTAAGTCAATTTTGTTTCGGTTGAGACATGGTGGACAAGTCTGGGTACAATATTCCAGGTGAGGTCGGACGAATGCCGAGAATAGCTTCACAAACAAATTTTCCGTTAGGAATCTGAAAGCGCGGCGGATAAACCACATCATACGAAACCCCCGACAAGCAGCTGGCTTCCAAGTGTCCCCAGAAGGATGTGTTGCTGAGCGCACGATCCCTAAGGCAACATGCTGACTGCCAACAGAATTAGCTGCTCCTGTGCGGAGGAAAGAGCACTTAACCCTACTTATAGGCATTTACCAAAAGGTAGACCATTCCCAGGGCCTATCTAGGGCACTCTGAATTACCTCTGTACCCCCGGGATATCCACGATATTTCGAAGCTTAAGGTTGTCAGCAAACATTAATGATGTCACTCTTAGCTCCCCTGCAAGTCATTTACATTGATCACGAACAACAATGGCCCCAAGACCGAGCCCTGCGGGACGCCGCTAAGGACAGCTTGCCTGAGCGAAAGGCTACGCCCAACCCCGTACGCACAGTCCCCTCAACTCAAGGAAGGCAGATACCCACTGAAAGGCGCTACCAGATATCTCGTAAGGTCCCAAATTTAGTGAGAGTGGAAGATGTGGAACAGTGTCAAAAGCTTTCGAAATGTCTACGGATAGCACGTCCACAGCGTGGCCACTGTATACCGCTTCGTCCCATCTTTCAAGAGCTACAAATAGATTAGTATGACAAGAAAATCCCTTGCGTCATACATGTTGCGCAACACTGAGAAGCTCGAATCTATTCGGGTGGTTTCTCGCTGAATCCCTCATTAGCTTTTCAAGCGACCTGACTACTACGCTTGTCAAAAGTACAGACCGTCAGCTTGACCTGCAGAACGCTATCACTACCCATAACAATCGGACAGATGATCGGCTCCTTCCATTCCGAAGGTAGGATGCAGCTGCCAAGCGATATTAAAAACGCGTATGTAAGAGGACCACTCAGCTCAGTGGCCAATTCATGCAACAGCTTAGGATGAATTGGCTCAAGACCGAGAGCCTTAGAGGGCTTAATGCCTTGCAGTTGCGCGAAGAACTGAGTTTCCATTTTGTTAAACATAATTAACGATCCTCTGAACCTTTTGAAACCCAGTTAACCTGTGGTAAAGCGATCTCCCGAGCAAACACATTAGTATATTGCTCATTAATAATACAAGCCTTTTCATAGTCAGATTGCACACGGCTTCTATCTGCTCGCAATAACGCCGGTGTAGACAGTTTTGCCCCGCTGCGCCTTCTAAAGTAAGGAAAAGCTTCTTGGGATTGGCTGCGGGCGATTTCGCACAACCATGCTCCCTGGAGACGAATATACTGAGCTGTTGCTTACATGTGTCAATAATCTCCCAATAACTATCATAGGTACCGGCCGATGGAGCTGCTTGGTTGGTTCGCCAGCATCTAGACCGTTGGTTTCGTAGTTACGCGCCTTGAGTGTCGATTCATGGAGGCTGTGCCCTTAACCCTCTTTTCCTCATGAGTGGAATATATGGGGTGAAAACCTCCGTAAGGCATGCCTTAAATTTATCCCAGGCTAACGGGCTGTGTCAGCTCTCGAGATCTCACAATTCAGAATCGAAGCATTAGCTCGTATTGCACTAAAGTCCGCCCGCCAAATATTCGGAAGTAATTCAACAGCGGTCTCTTGGTGCCTCGTAAGGGCACACCGAAGGGAGATGCACACGTGATCGCTGGACCCTATAGGTGCACCGAATGAAACCTCAGTCACGAAGCCAGGGAATTGGCGAAAAACAAATTTAAGTTGATGGTATTTTGCTGTCCATATACCTAGTGGCGAAGTCCACGAAAAGGTGCAAGGTCAGTTGGAGAGTCAACCGAAGAAAGTCTGCAACGAACGCTCTTGACGCCGTATCGCAAGAAAGCTCGGCACAGAGGACACCAGGGAGGTTGAAATCCCCTAGAACTAAACACTTATTCGAGGATCTAGTGCGAACAAACTCATTTATCCCCATGGAAGACCTTCCAGAACCCCTGTACATCACTACAACTGTAAACTGGGTAGAAGGATTGTACAAAACAGCCGATAGGGCTTCAACCGTCGGCTCCGAAGACTGGAGTCTGCAGGTCCTCAACACACCTAAGTTACAGCTCACATACAGTACAAAGCCTCCGCCTTGGCGAAGAGCCCAGCGATCATTTCTACGCAGAGAATAGCCAGGTAAAATTGCCGCACCGCCCGTGATATCCTGAGGCAACCGTGTTTCTGTGAAAGCAAGTATGTGGGGACTAGGTTTGTCTACAAGTCGACCCAACTCGTGCACCTTGTTCCTTAGGCTACACAAATTGCCGTGTGCTACCTCAAGAAAGTCGACACGACCATCCCTGGGTCGTGCGTCAGCAGGATGGGTTCTGATAGGGCGGAAAATAACTTCCGACTTAATACCTAAAAACCCACCAGACGGAGGCCTTGCTCACCAGCCGGCCGGCTAGTTTTGAGGTCTTTGCTAGCCTCCTGTAACTTCAATCTACCTGCAAGTGAATGGTTCAGCTGAACGCGGACACCACTACCCTTAAGTTTGAATGCAAACCGCAGAAATGATTTGCGTTCCACTGGGATAGATAGGACTAAGCGAAGTAGTCGTGGTCCTGGATTTGGGGTATCGGTAGTGACATTCCCCAGTCTGGTCAACTTTCTGGCAGTGACACCAGGAAAACCAGGTTGCAGCAGCATGCTTGCGCACAGTATGAACCACGTGCTGTTATTCAAGTTGCGTTCCCTTTGGGGTGCCACCGCTGATGCAGTAACGTTACGGAATATAACGCTACTATTCGTCAAAGTGTCGGCATGACGAGGTGTGTTTACCCCACCTGGCTTGTATTCAACACTTATACCAGCAGTTTTCACAACTGGCGGTGAGCCTGTACCTGTCTCCGCAAAAGACTTCGAAGCAACGGTAACGTAGGTTTTCCTCTCTGTTGTCGGCGTCTTACTAGTTCCTGTATCTTCAACCCCTTCGAAGTTTTACGGGCAGATCTAGTCCGCTTCTTTTGGCTCCCGGGAGCGGGGGCCGTTGACCTTGTATTGCATTCAGCAGTTACCGGCACTTCGTCAGAACGGGCTGGTTCAGTGGCAGCCGAAACGGAATGTTTTCCTGTGTATAATCGTCAGCTGACTTTAGGAATGTTAAACGTGACATGTTTCTCGATGCCGAGGCCACTAATTCTCTGGGTTGAGCAAGGGGCTTCTGGTACTTCCGCACCCACTTCTGGTAATTCCGCACCCGCTTCTGGTGTGCAAAACCTGCCTTCTTTACAGGTTAACATGGTACTAATGAAAGCCTTATCCTTTTGCTTTACCTTCGACTCCCTTCTTACATCTGCCTTGCAACCTTGCGCTGACTCGTTTAGTAGAAATTTTGGCTTGCCATTTGAACAATGCAACGTTGTATTTAATGGACAAAATGCTCGATATTTACCTGACCCATAGGGTAAAATGTTCGGGTAGAATCTGCTGGAAGGCCATGCAACCATAGAGCAGGTTGGACTCGCGTGTTTACCGTAGCTTCTTTGGCTTATGCAGCATTTAAACCGAATGCACGCCGGCGCAAAGCCTAACATCCAACCACGCCTTTGAAACTGCTATGGATAGGAATTAGGTAGGAGAGAAAAAACTAGAGAAGCTCCATAAAGTAGAATATAGGTATCACAGGAAATATATGGGTGTGGCTCCGCCGGATGACAGTGAAGGTGGGCCTTAACTTTCGCCACAGCGGGTGCCAAGACTAAATCAGCAGGCAAACCCTTCCACAGTCCACAGCTTCGCAAAGCGAAGTAACGTTGTCTGCAGTTAAGACGACTGTGTTGATGTGTGAGTCTCGGTGGATAGCCACATAGGTGGGAGCACGATTGGTGCAGTGTGAGCAGGTGGCGACAGGGGTGACCAGGTTTGGATAAGATCATACATGGTTCGCGGCATCCGGTTTCGGATTTGCCTGTCACTGTGGCCGGCCACAGGACGCCTGCGCCTACAGAGGGACCATGGATGGCTTGCGCTGCACCACCCACAGCTCCAACCACACACCCCATATCCAGTGTAAACCCGAAGGAATAAGACCGGGAGGCAT